GGATTTGAGACCCTACCATAGGTTAGTGTAGGGAGGGGCTGAAGGAAGAAAAGCTTTGCTCCCTGGCCCCACGGATGCCTTTCGGAATCACTTCCTTTTACCCACTGTATAGTCTGTCCTCTACGTACAAATCACACATCACTGCGCAGAGATGAACTTCATGATGAACGTGCAAATGACATCCATGGAAAAATCTAGGCAGCACCTGGGAGCGTTACTTTCAAGTCTTATTGACTGACCCTCCTCTCTCTCTCCCCCTCCTCTCTCCTTCCCCCTCCTCTCTCCTTCCCCCTCTCCCTTTTCCATTCTTCCTCCCTTTCCTCTCCCTCCCCCTCTCCCCTTCCTTCCTTACAGGGAATGTTTTCCCCAGGGAATACAGGTTTGTTCAACATAGACTGAGTCGCTACTGGGCAGGGGGTGTTGTAAAAGGGATTAAGCTGGATTAGAATCTTTCAATAATCTTTAATACTTTTTTCTTCCCAAAGACTTTATTATCCTCTGACAGAGCCAAAAGAACCTTTTTATTCTTCCCGTTTATGACAAGAAGGATTAAAGCTTTCCCCACAAACACCTCTGCTGGCTGCTCCTCCTGGAAGCCTTTCTCAGGTCACCAGAGGATTTAGAAAAGGCTCTTCCAGGATGAGTTCAGAGACGGTCCACACTGCTTTTGAAGTCCCTCTCCTGCTCCAGGGCCTGCTTTCCCCTGAGTTATTGCTTCAGCCCCCTAACTACCTCTGTCTCTTGACTTTCTACAGTCCTTCCTCGAATCCATGGCATTTCTGAATATAAATCTGTTTTTTTCCACTTTCTACTTCAATAGACAGCCTGTCCATCTTCTTCCATATAAAAGTTCAAGTGCTTCAAACATAAAGGTTAAAGACGGCCTTCTGTGACAGAGCACAGACCCAGCGTGACCAAGGCCTTGGGTGTGATGCCCAACACTACAAAGAAAACAAACACACACCCATGCATGGGGCCTTTTAATGTCCCTACTTCTGCTAGGCACCCCCAAATCCTCAGTATAAACCATTTGAAATTCACTGAATTCTCCAGGTTCCCTTTCAAGGCGGGGGGGGGGGGGGGGGGGGGGGGGGGGAAGCTCCCTAGGCTTTGAATAGCAGGCTTCTCCTTTATTTTGTTAATCTTTATTTCTTTACAATCCAACTTTGATGTCAACCTCTTGTCATCTTCCATTCCATAAGCATGCGAAATGCCCTTCCTTTGAAGTCCAATGGCGTCCTAAGGAAAGTTTATTACAGCCACTAATTGCACCCTTCTACAGTTGGCTTCCTATCTGTTTTCCATACTCGACTGTGAGAACCTTGAAAGAAAGGACTACATTCATTTGCAGATGTCTCTGGCACAAAAAGTGCACATTGTTGTTTCTGGAAGGAATTATCTCAGATAATATAGATAACTCCCAACTCCATGTTGTGAAAAAGGATTAGGTCAGATTCACCATCAGATTCACAGAATTTCAGTGAATGGCAAAGCAACAAACCCTTGTGTGGGAAGTACCGCAGAAGACCAGACCACACCACGGCTGGGTACACTGCTGAAATACCCTCAGCATACACATTTAATGGAGTGAGAGCTAGAGCTTCGGACGATGCCCACAGAGTACAAGGAGTGTCATAGGTGGTGGCAGTGGTGGGGGGAATAAAATTAACTTTCTTGGAAATTTCTGGGGACAGTTCTTATGAGAACTTAGGCTCCCAACTATTTCATGTTCATAAAAACAAAACAAACAAAAACCCTCCCAACCCAGGTGCGGTGGCACACGCCTTTAATCCCAGCATCAGAAGGCAGAGGCGGGTGGATCTCTGTGACATTAAGGCTAGTCCGAGCTACATAGAGAATTTAAGACCTGCCTGGTCTACACACAGCTAGTTTCAGGCCAGCCAGGGCTACATCGTTAGACCCTGTCTCAAACCAACCAACCACACAGAAACAATAAACCAACCAACCAAACCAAACCTAGTTAGGCCTGTGAATTCCAGTTGATCCCATCCTGAAATCTAGATTAAATCACGGCTATTGTAGTAGGTAGAGGGGCTGCTGCTGTAGCTCTGTGGTGGGCTGTTTGTCTTGCATCTGCCCTGAGGTGAGTCCACAGGAGCACTAGAGGCGCAGCTCCACTCTCCCCTAAAGCAGACAGAATAGTGACTGCAGCTGAGCATAGCGGATTCTACACTGGTTGAATCATTTCCCATGTTATCCCATAAGTAAAGGTATGGCTTTTGTTTAAATGACGATATAAATTGCTGTAATTGCACTTCCTCCGGCTTCTAGTGTTTGTTATAAAAGGAACCTACAAATACAGTTAAAACCACACAGGAAGATTATTCCCAAGCTCAAGTGTCTGGGCCGAAGAGGTGGCTCAGTGGTTAAGAGTGCTTGCTGCTCTCCGAAGAGAACCCAAGTTCCTAGCACCCGTGTTAGACAGGTCACAGCTGGCTGTAACTTCAGCTCCAAGAGATATGATGCCACTCCTGACCTCTGAGAGCAGTGGCACACACTCACACAGACACCTATGCACATGAAGAGAAATTTGAAAATGTATATATTTCTATATTCATTAGGGGAAAAAATCCTATCCAGAATCTAATTTACCATTGGCTGTTTGCACATTTTTTTTTTTGTGCTAGAGATATTACAAATAAACCATAGTGCAGATCTATAATAACAGCACTCACAGGAAGCTGAAGTGGGATGTTCCCTGCAAGTTCAAAGTCCAGCCTGGACTACCTAGCAAGTTCCCAGGCCACTGTGGGCAAGAGTGAAATCTTGTCTCAAAAAACCAAAAGCCAACCAATCCAAACCCCAAACCCGCATCCCTCCTATGTGCTGTTGTCCCGCTGGGCATATTCCTGTCCCACACGCTGGATATGCTAAACAGGCCTCTTAAAGCGTAACTTAAGCCTGACAGTTCCCTTCTCCACAGAATTTGTTTAAAAGAAAATTTGTTTCCCTTTGATGGCAGCTGCCTTATACTCCTTTGGAGTCAAGACAGATTATCAACAGGTAAATACTGAGATGGAATTGGAGGGAAGACACACACAAAGCCACTACCATTACCATTTTAACAATAACTAACAAAATAATGATAGTCACCAGTTACCGGGTCTCCCTACGTAATGAATGAGGTACCTCATCACTCTACATGGTAGTTAGCATTATCTCGGTATTTCTAATTAGAAAAACAAAGTTCAGAGAGAGAAATGCCTTCATCAAAGTCCCAAAGCTAGATGTGATACAGCCATATGAAAATGTCTGATTTTAAAGTCTTGTGTTTTATTTGTATGTTTCTACCCTCCAACTCTGCTGTGATATTTGTTTATACTTTAGTTTGGCATAAAGGGACATAGGGCAGTGTCTTTCCTGAGGAACATGAATTTCCCCTGGAAGCAAATTATATGGAAAAAGAAAACAACCTTAAAGTTACGTTCTAAGCTGTGTTGCTGAAGAAGGAGGACATTCTGCCAGATGTTCTCACGGATTTACTGCTGGCTTTCGTCTGTGTCTTTTCCTCAGTGTCCCCTGTTCCTTGTAATACAGGCTCGCTCTCACTCACTTACTGTGCTTCCTTTTTATTTTCTTCTCAGTTTAGGAGGACGGCAGCTTCAGCATGCCCTTTCAGAGCAGGTACAAAACTTGTCAGAACCCCAGGCACAGGGAAGTCACCAAATTTACACGTGAAAAAACACTGCGTGGCCGTCCTGAAAGGGATACACCAGAACGTGGGAACAGCATCTACCTCGAGGACCGGATGACACCCGAGTAAGCTGAGGGTAGAAGCAGTGTGCACACACTCTTGTATGTGTGCAGATACACACTTGCACTAGGGCAAGCTGAGGGTAGAAGCAGTGTGCACACACACTTGTATGTGTGCAGATATACTCCTGCACTAGAGTAAGCTCAGGTAGAAGCAGTGTGGACACACACTTGTATGTGTGCAGATACACTCCTGCACTAGAGTAAGCTCAGGTAGAAGCAGTGTGGACACACACTTGTATGTGTGCAGATACACTCCTGCACTAGAGTAAGCTGAGGGTAGAAGCAAACAGTGTGAACACACAC